TGGGCCAAAAATAAACTCGAATGAGAAGTATCAGCAAACTACTTCATTTAAGGCGGTTGATTAAGGTTTCAAAATATCGCCGAAAACATTCATATTCTCTACTGATGCATTTTGTTTACTCCGGAAAAAAGAAAACTACGAAAATTTAAATTCGGTAGCGACTAGCTGAACAGCTATTGACACAAAACACGGAAGGAAGTAACAAGGTAGTGCGGAGCGCTGGTTCGAGTGAACTTAAGCGCGAGTTATCTTAACAACTGTTTAGTTGATGTGCGATCGATGACCATGATGATCTTAAAGCCTTCAAACAGAAAAGGAAAACTATGTTTCCAGAATTTTTTGAGCGGATGGTTTTGATCAGATTCGATGCAAGAACTAGACGCCTAGGGGGAGCATGGATACCATACCCAGGTTGAAATGTTCCTCAGTCAGCTTCGAAAAATTGCTTATACGGTATCGGTGTTCAAAATCAGTTACCATGTGTTTTTGTAGGCCTGTTTATTAGGACAGGTGACCTAACAAACTGCCAGTGGAAAAGAACTTTGGAAAACAATGAGGCCTAAATGACTGACGGTTCAGTGTCTGCAGTAAACAGTATAGTACAATGTGAGGTGTTTGTTTTAATCTAAGTATTTGTGAAGATTTCGGGATACAACTGCAACCATAAAACTTCGGTTTGCAGCTTATAAGTTACTGAATAAACATCAAGATTTTACAGGTGAATAAATGAGATAGAAACTACCGCAAGGCGGCAGTAACAAGAGTCCGGAAAACCGAGTGATTTGAGACTGAACTCTGGTATAGTAGTTTGGAGTGAGTGGTCTAAAATGGATAAACCTCACTCAGAGCTTCCCGTCATCTAGGCCTTTCCAGTGTGATTCCTAAAAATGTTGCAAATAACTCGGATAGACATCAAAGAAAGCGCTCCCGGTAAAATGAACTAGTTGAGTCTATGCAGTCTAGGTGGTTTCGACGGATTCATTGGCAAACAATAGAACTGTACGTTTCTGTTGATATGACGGACCCCCACATAATCACATCTTCCTTCCATGCTCACAGACAGAATGTCTAGGTTAAAAACAAACTTGGTGTTTCTGACAATAACAAAAAAGGCGTCTTTGGAGCTATGCGGAAGGGGGTATTCCGGACAAAACAAAGGAAGTCGACTGGTGCCGACAATTTGTAGCACAGAGTGATAAATGATCATAAACCATTAGGGGTAATTTACCGAGGAGACACATTTTTGGCGTTTGGAGGTAGGCACCTGTGGGCGACATTAAAAAAATAGCTGGAAAGCAATTGAGAATACAAATCAAGGACTGTGTGCAAGGTTTTTCTTCATGCACAAAACAAAAGTCACCAAACCTAAGCCATCCAGATGTGGTGTGAGAGGGAAAGCGCGACCGGATGGCAGGTGGAACACAAAGACGATGCAGTCAGTCAGATTAGAAATGCGACAGCGGGCTTTATTAGATTGATCCCCTGGGACATCTGAATAGCTGATGGAGTACTCCCCACTAACACCAACCACTAAAACCTCGTGTGTGGGCGAGAAGAACGGAAAATGGAGAAAAAATTCACGCAATGAACGGTCAGCAATTAGAAAATGTGTAAATTAGAAGAGAATAAGT